CGGAGTGTAAAAGTAATATGTTGGCATTTAGATTCATTAACTTTAATGCGCCAGTTATTACACCAGTGCTCAATCAAGGTGAGATGACTTTGGAGATTTAAGGATGCTATTTCGGGATCAGAGTTGGATGATAAGATTGCGGTGTCGTCAGCGAATGTTGCAAGAAAAGTATCGGGATGAACAGGGATGTCAGCAGTAAAGAGGATGTAAAGCACGGGACCCAAGACGCTGCCTTGGGGAACACCGGCTTTAACGGAGTAGATATTGGAAAATTCTGTTCCACAGCGAACTCGAAAGGAGCGGTCAGAGAGGTAGGATCGGAGGACTAGGTACAAGGACTGAGGTAAATGGATTTTAAGCTTGGAGAGCAGTCCGGAGTGCCATACCCGGTCAAATGCCTGTGCAATGTCCAGAAAGGCACCCGAACAGTATTCCTTGTTTTCTAGGGATGAGGAAATATGATCAACAACTCGGAGTCCTTGTTGAACAGTAGAATGTTGAGAGCGAAAACCAAACTGATGGGAAGGGATATTTTGGGATTCTATAATGGGTAGGATTCGTTTCAAAAGGATCTTTTCAAAAATTTTTGAAAGGATTGGGAGTAGGCTGATTGGTCTATAGGATGTTGAGCTATTGAGAGGTTTTCCTGGTTTTGGGAAAAGGATAATAGTGGAGTGTTTCTATAACAGAGGGAAGTGGGTGGTGCGTAGGATACAATTGTAGATATATGTAAGGAATATGACTGCTTTGGATGGAAGTTGTCGAAGGATTTGAGGTGTAAGGAGATCATGTCCAGGAGCTTTACGGAGGATTAGTTTTTTTAATTGAAATTTTACTTCGGAAGGATGAATAGCTTTTGGGGGCAAGGAAAGTGGGATTGGTGATGTAAGGAGTTCTTCTACTGTTACGGTGTGGGCAGGATGGGATTCCGGATGTGAAATAAATGTATTGGATAGGTGAATGGCGAACTCCTCAGCTTTATCTTCGTCAGATGCTGCCCAGGAGCCATCACCTCGTCGGAGAGGATGGGAAATGCGGTGAGGATTTAGGATTTTTGCTGTGGTTTTCCAAAGGGAATTGTCGCGAGAAGAGAGGGAGGATAGGTAGGAGTTGAAGGATTGTGATCTGAAGGTGGCTAATTCCAGTTTTAATTGTTTGCAGTAGTAATTATAGGAGCAGCGGTCGGTAGGATGTCGGGTTCGTTGCCATAATAATCTGGCACGGCGTTTGGTGCGGATTAGGTTAAGGATGTGTTGGGGTAGAATGGTCTTTATAGGAATTCTGGAGGAGTCTTTTGGAAAGGAGGCAGTCCAGGCGGCTTGTTGGATTGTGGTAGTAAAGGAATTTACGGCACTATCAAGGTCATCGGGAGTTTTGAGGGATATGTTGAGATCAATATTATCGGAGATTATTTGGCGGAAAAGGTCCCAGTTTACTGGGCCCCTAATGAATGACGGTGGAGAAGGTTTGGGAACAGTTTCAAGTGAAACATTAAGGATTAGAGGACTATGGTCAGAGGAAAGTTCATTTAGACGTGTAATGGAACAATTGAGGGGACTTAAGCCGCTGTGGATAAAGAAATCAAGAAGATCAGGATTACGGTTGGGATCTGTGGGCCAGTAGGTAGGAGAGTTGGGGGAAAGGAGGTGAAAACGTTGGGAATTGAGTGCAGACAGCAGGGTTCGGCCACGAGAATTCGTGGTTCTGGAACCCCATTGTTGGTGCTTGGCATTTAGGTCTGCACCCAAGCTGAAGTGATGTCCTAAGGAGTCGAGGAGAGAACTGAATTGGGCATTGGATATGGATCGATTAGGAGGGCAATATGCTGATGCAAGAGTGACCGGAAAGGAGAAGGTTTTTATCACGATAGCGGTGGACTGTAGGAAATCATGTATTGGTAATGGGAGTACGTGATGGGAGAGGGATTGTTGTACAATTACCGCAGTACCGGCATGTGCTTTTCCGTCAGGGTGGTCAGTACGATATGTCAGGTATTGTGGTATATTGAAGTGATGTTTAGTGGTTAGTCGAGTTTCAGTAATTAGTGCCACATCAATGTTCTTGTCAAGTAGTAAAGTAGATAGTTCGTCTGTATGATTTCTAACACCATTCGCATTCCAAAGGAGAATGGATATGGGTTTAGGGATGTGAGTCATTTAAGGATTTTTCAAAGGAGGGATGAGGTGAGATACGAGATTCGTGAGGAGTGATATGAGTGGAGTAACAAGGGATTTGAAATCGGTGAGGAAAGATGTTAACAAACTTGTGAGATCTGTTGCATTTGAAGGAGGAGGAATATGAGGAATTTGTTGTTGGTGGTTAGGTATATTAGGATGAAGAGGATTTTGAGGTTGGGTTTGAGGTTGTTGTTGTGGCAGGGCTTGACATTTATCGGTTAAAGTCTTACCTCTAAGTAGTTGGGAGAATGATACATCATTGTTTACAATTCTGGAAGGCTCTCTCTCTCTTCTTGTTCTTAGTGCTTCATCTTGAATCCGGTTTTTCTGGTGTCTGGTTTTGAGATTCTTGTAAATTTGGCAGCCTTTGTAGTTGGCCGGGTGTCCCTCCAAGCATAGGGCACATACTGCTGGATCTTGTATAGGTTTGGTGCACTCTACAGATTTGTGCTGTTCACCGCACTTCACGCAACGCGGCAGATGGTGGCAATATGTCTTCGTGTGGCCATAGGTCTGACAATTATGGCACTGCACGATGTCTCTCTTGGGATATGGCTTCTCAACTTTCACCATTGTATAGTATATTCTTGTGATATCATATATTTTTTCGATACCTGGTGATGGCTCCAAGTCCACGAAAAACAATGGTAGTGGGATCCTATTTCGTAATCCTGGCTGCTCCCTGTCCTCCTTCAAAACGTTTGTTACCTGGCGTACATTGAAACCAAGCGTCGTTAGTTCTTCTTTAATAACTTCAGTGGGGGTTGAGGAATGTAAATTTCTTATCACCACTCGTAAGGCTCTTTCCTGCCTCAGCTGGTAAGTGTGAAAATTCGCATTTGTTTCTGATAAGTACTTCACTATTTTTCGGTAGGCTTCTGCAGAATCAGGTGTTATCTTGGTGTCATTGGTCCTGTTAAGGCATGAATAACTGCCAGAGCAGATTTTATTTAGTTGGGTGCAGAACATCTGGAAATTTTTTATATTTTTCACAAATATCGGAGGAGGCTTTGGTTCTCTGGGTATTGCTGCAGACTCCATTACTTCTTTGTCATTTTGAAGCACTTGGTAGGGGTTTGGAGTAAAGAAAGGTGATTCTTCAATCGTTTCTTGTGCAGACGTACCTGGTTGGGGCTGAGGTTCTGGTTCTGAAGTGTTCATTTTGGTCACTGGAGGTATTTCTCGTAGGCAGCGACGAGTCCTTTGTTTGGCTGGTGAGCTAACTCCGTCTGACCGAGACCTCTTGGGCACCTTACTGGCCATCACTTGCTGATCATACCGCATATCATAAGAGAAAAATAAATAAATAAATAAAAAAAAAAAGAAAAAAAAAAAATTTTTTTTTTTTTTTTTTCTTAAAATAACAAAAAAAAAGATGCCAACAGTAAATATCAACTGCTCTGATATACACTTTAACTGTATCACGTGAATAATCAGAGAGATTCCGCTATAAAATTGGTAAAAACTGAGAGAGGAGTTGAGGAGACAACCTTCTCATCAGCTGATCCACTGCCTTCCAGCTAATTAATTAGTTATAGCTTCATTAAAATTCGTTTTGGATACATAGAGGATGCAAAATTCAAATGATTGTACTAAAAAAACATTTATTTACCACTAAATAATTGTAAAATTCCAAATCTAAAGAAGACAGATGAATAATTAATAATAAAGAAAATCATAAATAGTATAGTTATAGTATTAATATTTACTGATATTAAAGTAGAAATATTAATTCAATAATTGAATTGTAAATTTTTTTTTAACTTTATCCATTTTGCAAAAGGAATTTGGTAGCTCAGTGGTAAGGTACTATGCTTCCAATGCTAAACGTCCCTGGTTCGAATCCTGGCTCATGGCAGAAAAATTATTTATCGTTTTATTGGCTGTGGGGCGACTCTGGGTAGATAGACCCTCCTGTAGCACACCCAGCCTCTATAAAGTGGATAACCCTTAATTAAAATAATTGATTTAATCAATAAAAACCTAGTGGTTGAGCGTAATCTCGGTCAAATCACACAACCGTAGACCAAGAAACAGTACTTTCTCTAAATAGTACTGAACCCAAGACCCTTCATGGGTTGTAGTGGTACAGATTTTTTTTTGCCCATTTTCAAAGCTCAATAATTCGCTTCCTGTTGGGTTTAGAAGTAGTCTTATACAACAATTCATGATAAGAAATATATTCTTATTTAATTGTAGCTATAATAAATCTAAGACGTTAATGACAACGCTTTTCCTCTACTTCTGGAAAATGAAAACATAGAGTCGCGAAATACCGATATGTTTATTGATATTTCAATATTTACACGTTCTTTAAAGATTAAAAACATCTAGGTTCGATAAATCGAATTACTATTAATATTTAAAAAATTACTCGATATATATTTTTTTATGTAAACATCTGTGAATTGGTGTCGCTGATCCGAATGAACCTTTTAGGCAGGGCCGAACTGGGATCTAGAGGGGACGGCTAAACGTTTACAAAATTTGTGGCCTCCTTCACAATTTTTATGGAGAATTAAATTAACTTTTATATCGATTCAAAAAGTAATGTTCTGTACAATTGAAGTGCAAGGAAATTTATTACTCAAATTCACAGGCGGATCTACGGGGAAATAGAACATTACACAGTTTTTCCGCCTCATGAAAATTGTTAATTTTTTTTCTTACGTGCTTTTGCAGTGTGTCTGTCGATAAACTAAACCTACTTGGCAAACAGTTTTTACATTATTTTTTTTTTTTCCATGGTTTGTCCATAAAGCATTAAAACATATGATACTTACAGGTAAACTGTAAAATTATATAGTTAAGGATAGAGAGATATTAAAGACCAACACCCAGCTCATAAAGTGACAGTGGCCGAGGTGGTAAAGAAAGGGGCCCGGCTGAGTGAGAGGTGAAAGAGATCGGTGAAGGGCTCTTACTTTCTTCCCGAGGGATCCTGGCCTCTGGGAACCTCAGGGGATTAGCGCTTCTTTCGAAAGGTGGGGTGATTGGGAATCTACATGCGCATTATCTAACAAGAGGGAAATGTATATACAAACTACTCAATTTTAAAATTCATAAAAAAAAACGGAAAAAAAGAAGAATATAATAATAATATATAATTACTTAGATGTATAATAATAAAATAATAATATAAAGGATCTTACTAAGATAAATAAGTTTCATGTAGAAAATAATTTGGTATAAATCAGTAAAATTACAATTATTTTTTTTAATGGAGAAAGCGTAGGAAGTTTGAACGTATTTAGGAATGCGGTAGGGTTCCACCTCGCCAAGCAAAAAAAAATTCATTAAAATGATAACAAGACTGAGTCGCTTGACTATATTTACGTAATTTGCATCTATGATGATTTAAAATATAGAAATTTGAAATTCTATTTATATTTAATTCAATACAAGTAGAGAAAGCGTAAATGTTTTTATCGCATTCGAATTTGAAAGACCCAAGTGTTAATAAATACTTCTTCACCTTTGACGGGGTACGACCCAAACGTCTTGAACCAAGTGACCTGAAAATTTGCATTCATGTATATCTTATGATACTTTAGTATCTTATTTATCACATACACGGATTAGAATTCTTACAAAAAATGAATAAATTTTTTTTTTAACATATTTTAGTTTATTAAAACTTTATATTTATGAACAACTTTTAATTAAATTAAGCATGCGTGAATGGTTAAGAGTTTATTTTCAGTGAATGGTTTCAGAGTTCATTTTTTTTTTTTTTTTTTTTTTTTTTTTTTTTTTTTTTTTTTTTTTTTTTTTTTTTTTGGAGTGACCTTCAGTCTCCTCCCCATCACGTAGATCAACCTGTACATTTTTATAACTGCTTATATTTTTCTGTTGGGACATATATACAACCGAGTTTTGTTTCCTTTTCCTTTACCTGAGTGACTTATTGTTAAATATTTAACAACTCGTGTTTTATTTATCTTAATATTTTTCGAGAAAAAAAAATTGTTATCTTCTTTTCAAATTGCAGTAATTACATCACGTAGTAGCATTATAATTTATTCAAGTACAATATAACACTGGTCATGAAATATTTATACGATGTCTAGAAGTGAGTTATTCAGATCATTGTTAGCTACTTGGAGTCGAAGAGTGACCTTTACCATGGCGTTCAACACTGCTACGTATAATCTCCCTTCCAAGGATACTTTCACTCAGTCCACTCATACAATCAGCATCTCGAGAGTTTTCAAAACGAAGTTCCATAACTCTGCTCTCTTCACAATCGCACAATAAATAATAAAATATGGATACTGATAGTCCAGGAGCACGCGGCAAAAAAAAGCTGTCATATTTCATAATAAGCTTTGTCCTTATAAAAACTTACTTTACGCAATTTTCGTTATTACACAGCTCTTAATCTGTATTCAAGACGACGCACATGTGTATAGATTAGCTTACATATATATACTGTCTTATATACAGATTAAGAGCTGTTTAATAACGAAAATTGCGTAAAGTAGGTTTTTTGGTATACGATAGTGACTTTTTTGTATTTTGATACAAATCTTATTTGTATATTTTGTATATTACAGTTCAGTATTTCAGTAACTACAATCAAATTAAATAAAAATCAAAATAAAACTGCAAAAAAAATTAAGTTTAATCGTTAAGTTATAAATGCTCTAGCCTTCGAATGGTTGAATATGATTGAATATGGTTGAAGACAGTAAAGCAGTATATATTCTTAAAGAAAATTTAATATTAAACAACTTACTTTTTCGTAAAATGAAAATATAAAGAGTTGGCGCGTCAAATAAAGATAAAAATGTAATGCAATTTTTTTTTTTATATTAATGAATTACGAGAAGGAATATCATAGAAACTAATAAAAATAACTAATAAGAATATAGCGAAAAAAAAACAACTAATAAAACCATTTCTATTGCAAATTTTATCAGCTTTAATTTCACATATGGCATTATTATAGATAAACGCATAGTTTCACTGATATAAGCGAAAAAAGTAAACTTTTTGTATCGTAAATTCAATTTTTCGATTTGAAATCCACGGGTATGAGATAACTGACTATTATTTCATGTCTTAAGACTGTAAGTACTATAAATTGAAAGGGTTGGTAGTTTTATATATCTATAAGCCCTCTGTATATATATGCTTACAACCTAGGAAGGGTCTCTATCTATCTTCACAGGGCCGCCATTTCGTATTCCAGCGGCTATGTGCTGGCAGACGTGCATTTTTCTCTTCAGGCCTGTGGATATGATGAGACCTATTTTGCCACGGACTCCCAGACGATGATGGCAACTATGAATGTTAGAAGCAAGTATACTTGCATGAGAACATGAAATATTGAAACCGGTGCTATATAGGATTCTAAACAAAATTAATATAGTCCTAAACATATTTAGGAGGTTAATTTTTCAGCGTTTGTTTCTACTTTCACATAATATCATTCATACATTAATCGATTAAGTTCAGGTAATTAAGCTCAGCTGATATAATATTAATTTGATTAAAAGAAAATCTCCTAAAATATTCAAAGTAAACCTAAAAAGAAAATGATAAAAAGAGAGAGTGGGCAAAGCATTTCTGAAACATCCAAATTGATTCATCATTTGAAAACTCCAATTCGTACTCTAATGATTTCTCTGATCGGTTATCAGGAAAATTAGTCTGATTCAATAGTGTTATTTTTAATTAACGTATTTAAAATTGAAAAAAAAAACCAACACTTATTAAAATCGGTAGGAAATTCATGTGAGTGGACACATTAGATTTTTTATTTAAATCATTGGTAGACATTGTATAGATTGTCATTGTCTCTACAACTCTTCCATTCTAAGGTGGAGGCATGTCACTATCTTTCCCAACAACGACTTTAATGTTGTCTAGTAAATTTTGTGCAAGACTCTTGCTAGACCAATGCCCGTCTTGGTCTTGCATTTGGGCATCATTCCTTTCACGTGGTCTTGCTTCCGATGTGGTGTTGTATACATGCGTTAATACTATGTTCCTGGATCGCTAAGTTATGGTAAGCATATATAACGAAGATTTTAAAAAGTCGCCCGTAAGTTTCCAAAATGCCAGCAAATACTAACCAAGCAAAACGTTTAGGCAATTCCCCAAGTGATTATCATCAGGACAGAAAGATTAAGATTAAATCACCACACCACTCACGGATATTACGAATCACACTTTTCATGAATGAATGATTATTAGTATTATAGTTGTTGGGAACAGTTTCGTAAGGTCTCAAAGGTTTCATTTTCAAGAAGAGTAAACGTGAGTGATGTCGACAAGGTTACCAAGGCGACCCCATTGACAAACTGCCGATCGCGGCGCCTACGACTACCTCAATATAATATTCAGGTCGTTGACAGTGATCAATAGAAGAAGATTAGCGTCGCCCACAAGAGCGTAACCAGCGTCCCCTCATGACTTGGCACCAGGCAACCTCTCGGCTAGTCAACCTTTACTGCTCCCCTAACCTTGACTCGTCTCAGCTGCTCAGGAGTCTGCTACAGTATCAACGAGTCGAGACTCAACATTATGCATACATAATAACATAAATAAAATGTGTACGTACTTTGATTCATTAGATTATTTGATGCTCTCCAAAAGGGTACAATTTACAAAAACTAAGTTTTAAATAAACTAAGGTCAAAATTAAACCTATCCTGTAAATGATTTTTCCACACTGGCGGACTTTCCTTTGCAAAAGTCTTTCAATATTTCTAAGGCCACGTGGCATTTAAAACGCAGTTTTACCACATATGAAAATATTTTAAATTATTTTTAAAATGACAATTGGACCTTATACCCTACAAAAACCAGTACATTCACAAGTGTGAAAAATAACAACGAGGTAATTACACCACACCTATTGGGTTTCTTCTATCATCGGGATCCATTATTGGATTATCAAAGGAGAAGTTTGTTTTATTAAGTGAAGACAATTTTCTGCATTTCATCCTCTCTGTAATGAGCTATTATTCAAAATTGCATCTTAACGCGACCCCGTGTTAGAGTGTCTAAAACCAAGGTAGTTTAGTTGGACATATGGATTAAAATATCTCAGAAATCGGACCTACATGAACCTTCTAATGAGCTATTGATAATACATTTTTATTTATTTGTAATTCGAATAAAATTGACTTTACTGCGGCTTAAATCTCATTAACTCTTATAAGAGACCAGTTAACATTTTTTTTGGAGCTAATGTGAATGCTCACAAAAATGAAGCACTTGGTGGATAGATATTGTGGCTCAATATTTTAAGAAAAGAGGCTGGAGTTTCGCTGACTTCCAAATCACAAAAGAGTTCAATGAATCATGGAAGTAATAATTATCGGATTATAGTACATTTTTCACATAGTACATGCATAAGTCACATAGTACATTTTTGATGAAGCTGAATTGTTACTAAGGTTTTCGTGAATTTCGACCATATTTATTCATTAAAAAAAAACAGTAAGTGAAGTAAAGAAAATCTAAAAATGATAATATTTTTTTAAATATTTAATATAGTTCCTTCCTCTCGTATCCAATCCTTACAATATAAGTCAAATCATCAATGGTCCTTACTTTGTTACAAATAAAATCATCCATAACGACCTGAATATTTCATGCGTTTCCGAATTGGTCCAATCCAGATACCTATCCTACCGTAATAAACTTTAGAACCATCCTGATCCTCTCGTTTATAACTTCGCTCCCTCTTCAATCCCAGATAAGCCCCAGAAGTGTCTGAAAAGAAGATGGCCCCGTGATCTCCTAATTTAGATGCTATATTAGAGGGCTAACAATTTGTAGATTCTCAACAAATATTTGTATACCATTGATTTCTCAAAATCAAATTTACTTGATGTATATTTATTTGTATACAGTTGTAAATTTAATAAATAAAAAAAAATTATAATTCCAACAAGCGTACGTTTTTCAGATTTGACAAAGGGAAAATCGCACTTCTTTTGTTTGAATGGCATATTGGCAAATGCTGCCACGCATAAAACAAAAAAAGGGGGAGAATCAAAGTTCTTTGTGATTTAAGGTTGTGACATGTTACATTGAAATGATTTTTTGCAATAAACCGACAATGTAACTTGTAATATAGTGATGATTGGGCATTACTTTATGAATGTATGTAGCTCTAACCTTCGTTCTCCTCCCCCTCCTTCAATATTTCTCAATGCTTCTCATTAAGATTTTTTTTTCTGAATTCTCCAATTGAATCTATAATATTGCATTACAATTAATTGCTCATTTAATATTAAAAACTTGTAAATCTTATTTAACCTTATCATAAAATATTACATTTTTAAGATAAGTAGAATTATTTATTAATTGTTTTATGGCTCCAGGCTCCATTTAGCCACTGATAAGAAATTATCACATCAATTCCGTGAATTTCAGATTTTAAAATTCGTAGATTTACACCAAAGCATTACAGAGGACCATCTTAAATCGTTTTACTCAAAATATATCGTTTTAACAAAATATATTGTAAGAAATTTCAAACAAATATATATTTAATTTAATGACAACAGATATCTGTAAGTACTTATTATAAATGTAAAGCAGGAGTATCCGCTGAAAGACTTGAATGAACGAAGTAGAGGGTAAGGAAAAAGAGAACAGTTAAGCCCCCATTTAATCCAGTAATCAATGGATTCATGATAAAAATATCATGGTTATTCAATTTAATTTATCGCATATTAATTCCTTGAAAAATGCAGTTATACGTTCTAAATTTATTGAAACCAAAAATTTAATTGTAAACAAATAAGCTTCCTTCCTACTATTGCCTTCAAATGAAACAAAACAAACCATCGGAGAACAGTAATCATCATGACATATTTGAATATTTACAGTACTCAAAAGACAAGTTCACTAGAAGAGAAATAAAAACAAAATCTGTAAATTCCTTAAATATCACAACCAATAAAAATGTATACCGTCCTTATAACTACACTACTGAAGATACACATAATATTTGAAATTATAAAAACATAAAAGTTAAAAAAATTATTTAGCAGCAGAGAACGGATTTGTTTTAATCTATACGTTCAAATATATTTACGAAGTAATGGATTTATAAAAAATTAAACCTATATTTACTCCTTGTGTAGAAAAAACAACTGTGTAAAAATTGGAACTTAGTATTTAATCTTTATAAGCTATAATAAAGACATAGAAGAACATAATCCTTCGGTCATTTCAAAGAAAATGTTTGTTTACATTTGTTTCCCTTTCACTCTATTACCAGCTAAACGTCTTTTAATTGAGACTTCCTCTTGAATAGATATTTTATATTGATTAGTTTCAATTAATGTCTTTATTTATCCTTAAAATTGAAACTATACTTAATGCTTTATGTAAAGTAAAAAGTTTTTAACAATCTTTTTATTCATTGTTATTATCAATAGTTATACAACATAGTGTAATAGACTATATCTAGTTAGAAATATTGTGATTGATTTTATCAAATTCGAAGTTGGAAACCCAGGCAGATACCAGATAGGAAAAGCTGAATGACAAGGAAATACCATGGTTACTACTCTTATGTTGACAAGTGATACTCGTGTCTTGAAAACATGAATGGGCATTCGTTCAGTAATTTTGGTTTGGTTGTAATAAGGATAAATAATAATTCATTAATTTAAGTTTAATAACTTAAAATTCACTTTTAATATTCACTAAATAAATAACTAGTTTTTTTATCAATGAACTATATTATATCACTCCCTCAACTGCCTCAAGTTTGCAGGGACTATTCGCGAAACCGCTAGACTACGGTTCCCACAGGAGTCATTCCCACCTGGAGGCCTGGCTCCTACCTGTGGTAGTAGGGGGGAGGGAGGAGAGTACGGTGTCCCTCCCCCATTGTAAACACCACGCATACCAGGCATGACCTCGCGTGTTTGAGGAGTAATCCTAAATCAAATATCATTGACGGATTACGATATTAATGCTACAAGTTACAGGAGCGGATGACATAACATAAAGAAGATGTGACAGTTACTCACTCCAGGCGTTGATGACTCCTGAGAGGGTGTCTGCAGGCGGAGTGGTGTCCATATCTGAAGAAGAGCATGACACACTGACAGAAACACATCCGCTAGAAGAGCATTTCGACACTTCTCGAGCGACACAGCTCCACGCCACTCACTGAGCACTGAATCGATATGGGCGCGGAGGTGGCGGCACCAGCGGCACACCGGTGCACTAGCTCAGGTGCCCGCTATTCCTCCAACCTCCCACTACTGCATATTTCACTATAAATAGCGGAACTTCAGAATATTAATTTTCAACCGATCATCAGTAGCGGATTTAGGAATTATTTTTTTTTTTTTTTAGGAGGCGGGCTTTGTTTATTATTCATTTTAAATATTCATTTAATTACTAGAGCTCAGATCTAAAGTTCTTAATTTTGCAAGGAGTTAATGGTAAAAATCAATTTAAAACACTTTAAATCATTTAAATTTTATATAGCATAAGCGTGAAATCTTTTTATCATTGGAGGCGTTGTATTATAAAGTTTTTTTTGTACAAGAGGTTAAAAACAATTGTATGCTCCGAATCGAAAATTTCCACTCGCGTTTTACGTTTCAGACATCCAGGATCAATTTTGGTTCGGCGCCTGTCTGTCTGTAGTCAAATCGATATACCGAGCATATACCGATTTTCATGAAATTTTCAGGGATCATGCATGTTTTCTAGATGGTCCCACATCAAATTCCATCCAGGACTCCCTCTTAAGCACGCGCAAACGTATTTTGTTTAGATATGCTAATATTTCAGAAACGACTCGATCGGTTTGGCTCAAAGTTACAAAAAAGGTAGGTACTAAAACATCTGGTTTATCCACTCACACGACTTTCCTACCTATTTCAGAAATCTTTTTATATCTTTACATATGTTCAGGAAGAAACAAAAATAAAATTAATTAGATTTATTTTTCTGAAAATTGATCAATGAAAAGATTTGAGTAAGATTTATTTCATAAACTAAAATAAACCGGCTTAAGGTAGATCAGTGTAAAAATTTCAATAATCTCTAATATTGCTGCTCAAAAACTGTTAGCCATAACCTAATTTTGTCAAACAATACTATCTATTAAAAGTACAGGAAATAGTGAAGGTTGTGTGATGCGGGCAACAGATTTCCTTACTTTCACTTAGTTATCTTTTTTCTCTCATTCATCCCTTTCTGAAACCAGGATATGTATCCCAAATCTTACATTGAAAATTGAATAGCTGTAACTGCGTTAATAGTTGTCCAAAATGAACGATTATTATATGGCTTGAGGACTTAGGGGGCTTTGAAACATAGATCCGCATATCGGAAATTTGACCCGATTGCAATAATTTCCTTACCTAGTATAGGTAGGAAAGTAATAAGTTAATAAATGAGAGAGGCTCTGAAACGTATAGATCCGTCTGAATATTCTTGGAAATTTAGTCCACATGCGAAAATTGAAAGGACAATTATTAGACCATTATAGGAAAGTTTCATCAAAATCGTTAGAGCCATTTTCGCGCTACAGTCTATAGAAAAACATGTTTTTCATTTATTGCGCACAAGCTATTGCGCATGGAGCACCGAATTTCTGTCACAGGCATCAGTAGTCAAAACACTACAAAATAAAAAAAGATGCAACAAAATCGATTCAGTAGTTCTCGAGAAAATCTAAGAGCACAGGCAGACAGACAGACCAATGGCTAAAAATGTGTTTTTCGGACTCAAGGGGCTCTGAAACGTATAGATCCGTTGAAAACCGCATATCGGAAATTTGACCCGATCGCAATACTTCCCTTACCATTTTCATCTTTCATTTCATTTTCATTGAAATCTGTCGTCTACTTTCTCTTATACATGCGGAAACGTGTTTTCCTTGATACGCCTAAAAATTTAGAGGAAATTAGGAAAACAATATAGAAATTAAATAGTATCAATTTCATTGAATTCCATAAAATAATTAAAATTATATAAATGATTGTTGTTGTTGTTATTGCTAATGATTGACAATATAATCGTTGTGAAATGTAGAAGACATTGATAATGTGGAGTGGGTTTTAGGTTAATACAATATTTTTAGGGAGTTATAAAATTTTAGGTTTTATTCAAACATTTAAATTATATTGTTTAGTCGATTCCAAACGTTACTGGCATGACAGTTACTGCCGCTACATAGATTTCGTGTAATATTCAGTAAATTTAAATTAATTTTTCCTTTGTGTTCGTAAAAAAATGTCTTGTTTGTAGTTATGTTTATTTCTATTGAAATTCAACCAGCTTGTCATGGTCTCGATTTCCATCGTTCTCCTCCCCAATAATTTGATTTAAAAAAAATTAAAAATGGTAACAAATAATCTACATAAATGAGCAAGAAATGTAAACCAAAATCGATTATGAATATAAGAAAAGTCTACCAGGCTAGTCTAAGATACATAAGTAGATACGTAATTATTTTATCACGATCTAAATATTCCTATTTTTAATATTTTAATTTATATTCAGGTATAATAACATAGAAAGATATCCTATGATTTTATGATTCATTTACCTTTCATGTGGACTCCTCCATTTTTACGTGACTTTTTGCGGTAAATTTAGAAAACATATATTTAATAATTAGAAGTATAAATATATTTTATAAATAACGCTGCCATAGACATTTTTACAAAACTAGTCAGTCTGTGAAAACGTTTTATTCGGCAGCTGTACATATTAAGAAAACAAACTTATTTTTCAGTTATTAACATTATTCATTTTTAGCTGAAAAAGATCTAGAAATATACATATGTTATGGAGGCTAACCACCGTCCTTAATATTATATTTGGTCGTTTCAAAATAATTATGTTACATTTTTACACATAATATGAACTGCCGCCTTCTTTTTTTTTTTATTGATCCATCGTCCCCCAGTCAAAATGAAATGTCTGAGGCCGCAATAATTTCATATATTTTATTATCGCTAATTTTATTTATAAGTAAATACACACAAATACATCTATATAGATAAATTGTACTTAATTCTATTAATTTTCAAATTTTATTAAACTAAATAATTTTTTGGAAGCAAGGTTGCAAACAAGAGGGTTCGGATGGTTCAGAAGTTTATTATGGAAGGATAGGTATCTGCATGGAGCTAAATCGGAAACATATGGTACATTAAGGTCGTTATGGATGATTTTATTTGTGACAAAGTAAGGAGCATTGAGGATTTTATGAAGGATTTTGGATTGTAGAGATTGGATACGAGAGGAATTTGATGGTTTAGTAGAGCCCCAAAGATCGATCCCGTAACTCCAAATAGCCCTTATTGTAGTAATATATATAAGTCTTTTGTAAATAGTTGGAAGTTTAGAGCGTTTGCCTAGTAAGTACTGCAGTAGTGGAAAACGTCGGGCGGTATTTAGTCGTTTCAGTCTGGTATAGGGGTTCCAAGTGAGTCGTTTGTCTAGGTGGAGTTCTAGGTATCGAATTTGTCCAACAGGGATAAGTGGGCTATTGTAGGACAGGAAGTCATAGATTTACGACGAAGAGTAGAGATAATTTGATGGAATTTATTTAAATCCTCCAGTTTTGACACCATTTTTCAAGACTTGTGATGTGTGATTGAAGAGTTTGGGATGCAATAGATGGTTCGTTAAAATACTAGTGTGGTGTCAGATTATAGTCTGCAAGTTCTTACAGTTTGTTTCAGTGTAAGTGATGTGCTGGAAAACGGTGGTTCCAGGCCTCTCCATTAGGTATAAAGCTGTCCGATTCTCAGTGGTGCTAAAATTATTTCCTCTGACATGGAATGAGCGATCCATCTGGAAGCCTCTACACGATGGATACTAGTGTCCATGTGACAGATTGTAGTAATACTCAATAAATTAAAAAAATAATATTAACTCATAGGATACCCGTGTCATAGGCATAAGTGGTGATGACAGTGTTGGATTGGGTTGGAATGTCAGCTGTATAAACTGTGTACAGGATAGAACCTAGGACACTACCTTGAGGAACTCAGCACCTGAATAATTAAAATTTAATTCTAGCGTTCGATTAATGAATTTAACAGATTAGTTAAAACAGAGCAAAAACATTTGGAGATGGCTGGTTTCCCACTTACGGTATAACGTTAGTTAGGGAGTGTAAACATGAAATAACACAAATAAATATTGCAAAATTGAGTAGAGACATTGAACCATAACTTGTGTTCAACGAGTGGTCAAAATGCGACTATATCATTTTGAATGTTTGACGAAAAGATATGTGCATATTCCCAACATTTTCTTTCTACTCTTATACATTCTTTCATTGCACTATATGTGATAATATGCACTTTATATGTGCATTTTATATTATAAATATATCTAACAGAAACCAGTCTAGTACTATTTGTGTACTTTACACAAAGAAAATTCTGAATCCTTCGTTTCTCTTTTCATCATCTTTTCGGGAAATTATGTTATAAACATAAATTAAAAGAGCTTCAAGGAAAAAAGATTCATTAAAAACGCTACAGGTGTTGTGGCGCTACAGTCTATAGCGATATACGTTTTTCGGCCGCCATTTCAAATCGAAAAGCCGGATGGTGACGAAATGTATATAAAAAACCAGGGTTGCCACTTTGGTGAAAACTCTTTTCAGGGAAATTCCAAGGTTGAGAGGAGAAAAAAATGGAAACAATTTTTATCAACTAAAGCCTAATCTGAGCACAGTTTAATGTATTTTTTAAATAATTAAAGTAAAACAGACTTACAGTTACATACATTATATATTATTCGGTATATATTTGGGTGGATTTTTAAGATATTTTTAAGTTCGTTCGGAAAGTAAAAAGGAAAAATTCTGACTTACCAAAAGGGAAATTAAAAAAAAATATAGTAGAAACATTGATATAAACACTCCTGAATTGGTTGCAATCGTATCAAAATTTCACATCAATCGGTGAAGCAGTTTAGGAGAAACGCGGTTTTCAACAAAGGAACATTTACATTTATATTTATATAATTTATATTGATAACATTATTTTACATATATTACATACATCTAATTTTTTTTAATGATAACATTAAAGCTCATCAATAGCCACTTAACAAACAAAAAAAGAAGGAAATCGATTGACAAACAGAGAAGAAAATGATACTGAACTGTTTTGTTTTTCCTTATTTAT